AGCCTTCTGTGCAGGGGGGACAGCCATAACGTAGACTAGCCTTCTGCGCAGCGGGACAGCCATAACGTAGACTAGCCTTCTGTGCAAGGGGACAGCCATAACGTAGACTATCCTTCTGTGCAGGGGGACAGCCATAACGTAGACTATCCTTCTGTGCAGGGGGACAGCCATAACGTAGACTAGCCTTCTGTGCAGGGGGACAGCCATAACGTAGACTAGCCTTCTGTGCAGGGGGACAGCCATAACGTAGACTGGCCTTCTGTGCAGGGGGACAGCCATAACGTAGACTAGCCTTCTGTGCAGGGGGACAGCCATAACGTAGACTAGCCTTCTGTGCAGGCGGACAGCCATAACGTAGACTAGCCTTCTGTGCAGGACAGGATTATATTAAAGCACGTGTGAGTGCACGAGCACAGGTGTAACCTACTCTCCATTCCCTCACTCTAGGTGCTCATAGGTGCCATAGGAGACCACACACCGCTTTTCAGAAGGCGGTTAGATAACTGAGTCATCATTATCACCATCATCGTCATCATCATCATCAGTCGTCTTTATTTAGCTCGCAGCCTACGAGTCCGATGAAGCTGTAAAAGCCAACTGGCTAACAGCACTGACATCACAGAAAATAAGCAGTTCCATATCCGTCCGATGGGACGGCAATCAGACTCAACCGGAGATATTGTCTCGACCCAGGACCACATGATCAGCAATAGCAATTAAAACCATTTGACTAACGAGAAAGTCATACAATTATTAAAAAAAAATATTATAAAACATATACACAATAGCATAAGTATTTACTAAATAAACTATATACACAAAGAGATTTAAATATATATTACATACTTAAATGTCTTTGATTATACACAATCGTTATGCAATAAAGAAGAAAGTTCGCGAACATTATTTAAATAAACAGGCAGAATAGGTAATATCATTATAGTAGTATTTATTTATGTATTCATATAACATATTATAATTATATTTGTAATTCTTTAAATTTATATGTACATAATTTATATACAATATAATATACATAATTTATGTATAATACTGTGCATTTTAAATAGTTTATTAATATGTATTATTTTGTTTTATATTTATATACTTTATTTTACATTCTTGTCGTTTAGCGTTTCATACACCCACTTCATATTTTTAACTCTTCATCAACCAAAGGTTGAATGGTAGTGAATGCCTCAGGTATTAAGATTAAGTCCGCCTATACATCATGTTGTATCACAGAATAAATAATAGTACTACGTACAGAAATTGCACTCCTTTGATGTCGACTGCTTGCGGATGTTTAATAGCCTATATAATTATTATTAATAATAATCAGATAAATCGCGCACGCAAGCCAAATAAAACTTTATCGCTGCGCGTTAGTGTCCATATTACTTGCATCTTTTCCACTTCCTAAGTCACGACGGACTTTCCTTAGTTATTAAGGGATGTCAATAGAAAGTAAAAAAATACATTGCGAAATGTTAATTATGTTACTTAGGTGAAGTACCTATACTGACTATGATCGATTGACTATACTTTTGCCCCTATGTGAGTTCTGCGATGCCTAATGCATGCAAATTGCAAGGTCATTCGTCGGGAAATCGCAACGCTTGGTTCGGAAGAAATAGGTAGATAGTGTAAACAACAAATAAATCTGAAATACGATTCCTAACAGAAATGTGATCTATTCTACTTAGTTGAAAATCTTGTTAGTATACAAAGTTTGAATATTAGTATTTTGTGTTATTATAACTTAAAATATTTTAATTACAAAAGACAAGTATAGGTATGTAAGTAATTACTTGGATAGTGAAGTAAATTTTAACTAATTTTTGTAATAAAGTACTTAGGTATTTCTTCTGTAGACCAAATTATTACTTAATTCTTTTTTTGCTGTAAGTACATATCAAACAAAAAAATTAAATAAATTCACCTTTCATAACTAACGAACGAGGCACTCGTAAAAAGTCATTTAGAATGCAATGTGTTGTTTGGTCACCACATGAAGTCAAATATAAGTTAATGCTAGAACGTATTCAGAACAAATTTGTGAGATTTATGTATTTAAAACAGTATGGTGTGTACCCGGGTTATCCACTTTTGTACCCTACTTTATTTATACTAGGCATGATAGGCTATTATAAACTAGAAATAAGAAGGGAAGTTGCTCTCGCCACTTACTTACTAAAAGTGATCCGTGGTAAAATACATAACCCAGGTATTTTACAGATAACTGAGCTGTGTGTCCCTAACAAAGACTATATAACCACTTGACCACGGTAATATTATCTATACAGTATTCCAACTTCATACAAACGGACGTAGCGAGAGCTATGCCTACGCGCCTCGATCTCGGCATGCGCTCGGCATGCAGACAGTCGAGACTGTGCCGCAGTCATGACTTTGTGAAATATATAAAAAATGGAGGAAATAAATAATAGAACAGAAATAAAGAAATAATAAATCTGAAATTCATTTAAAAACAAACATATAAATTGTAAAGTAGCTGCAGGTATCTATAACCAATTAAAAGATATTCCTTTTCACCACGTTGTCCATGTTTCCCAAAACAATTTTTAATTTATATTATTTTTAGCTTTATATTAGAAAGCGGATTTTTTTATATTTAAAAATCTAATAATAAAGCATTTCGTAAGTCTCAGCCGAGGTGCAAATATTTTTCGGTCGCAAATTTATTTAACCGATTTGTTATTCAAACATAAACATGGTTTTTTAATTAAATCTACCAATCAAAAAACGACACGCATTTTTACTGAACACTTCCTATTCAATTCACAAAGTACCTATTTTATTTTTTTATATAAAAAGTATATTTACAATCATAAAACTAAATGGAAACACAAAGTAGGCAAATGTAAAAATGCTGGAGGCAGGTAACCCTATCACATGTTTACGTGCCGCACGGCTGTAGGCATTAATTTGAAAGATACGGCCGAGTTACAATACTGTATAGATAATATTACCGTGACTTGACTGCGCATACAGTGCCCCGGCGCTCGAAAACTATTAGTATTTTGTCGCCTATGCATCGGCTATGGTACTATTATACATTTTAGTAATGTCCAAGTGCTAGACCTGTGTGCACGCTAAATTAATGCAAATTTTTATAACTTTTATGCAATTATAATGCATCAAAATGCCTTTATGCGCAGTGAAGTGGTGTGGGAAATATTCCAGGACAGATGTCCAAAAATAATGGAGGAAACTTTTCATTGCTAAGTAAAAAATACGAAAATTATTGTTGATTAATTCAGATTATGAGCCACCGCAGGGATCTATCTAAAACGGTGGCCGATTAAATAACGACAAGGTTGAGTCGCACGTTGATGTCTTTTGGAAAAGTCTCGTTCTATTATTAGACAATTCTAATGCTTCTATCCCTTTCTTTCCCTTTGTATGTTTATCGTAAACATTAGTACTTACTGTTACCTTTAATAGCTGAAAGTCGATATCGAAAATAATAAAATTATTAAGATTATTCAATTCACATACTGTGAATAAATACTTATCTACTTTTAACCGTCTTCATAAAAAAGAGGAGGTTCTCAGTTTGTCGGTATTTTTTCTTAGTTAAAGTTTATAGTTACCTAGTTAAATTAGTTAGATTGGTGTACCAAATCAGAACGGCTTACAATTTCAAAAGGACACTAAAGACAAGTTATTGTCCGGATCCACTATAGTAATAGATATTTGTCGTCGTTGTAAAATTTTTAATAGGAGGGCGATCAATGAGAGTGGTTCAAAAGTGCTGTCTTCGAAATATAATACCAATTATTTTATGAGAACGGTTTTAAAATCTCTGATTAGGTATCATTGGTTCCCGGATATTCATTTTCATCAATATGAAATAGAATCAAAAAATAATTTAATTGAATTAGCAAGATGCATAATTTACAAATTTGTAGATGCTTGTTTATATTTTTTATAAAGAACAATCAGGACCCTTAAACTTCAATTCGAAATAAATATAAAAAACTAATCATTTCAAAAATCAATAATAATTAATAAATACATGTTTTCGTTGTAACTGATTGACTTTGATTATATATTATTTATATGATTTTAATTGAGTATTTTTCATAATGATAAAATCCATTTTATCGATAACGAATATTTTCCTTTATTAAGAAGAGCAACCCTAAAGATAGACATAACAACGCAACTTGACCGTTTGCAGCCACGCGTTCTTCCTCGTCCCCCGGACCGCAGTAGTGAATCGTATGCTTAGAATAAATTTGCCTATACGCTCTCTAGTGGTTATATTCTCTATGGTCCCTAATGAGTACGTAGGAAGACGGCGGCGGCCGCTGCTCGTCGGTGCCGCAAGCGCGCAGCAACTTGCTACAGCACGCGCCATTGACGCGCGCGCCGTGGTCTCACAACAGACTGATTTGTTCAGCTGTACTCTGAACGAATTCACAAAAGCCGCTTATTGTAAAATATCTTTAAGTTGTGCATAATATACCTATATTATGTTTGTTCTAGTTTATTAGTTTGTAACTACACTATTGTATAAGGTAATACACCTGTGATGATAGTTGTAAGTGGTAAATAAATAAAATAAATAAAAACTTCCTTCTAAAATTCTTCGGTAACTTAAAGAATGATGAATTCTTTTGTTGGTCATTTCATTTAGTATCCATCCACGCAACAGTTATAGTAGGAACGACGTTTTGCTATTATAATTTATCAAATAATAATTTTTAAAATACATTAAAACTTTTAGAACTATTTTTACCTACAATTAAATATACTAAATACTAAACAAAAACTATTTCAACAAGTATTTACGTAAACAGCTTTAAAAAACTTTAACATTGGAGTCAATTACGGGTTTTCACGCAGGTAGCAAGAGTGACAAAGGCTGGTTATAGATAAATTGTAAAATTTACTTCGACTACTAATCATTAATATTGCGTCTAAAGAAATCTTGGCTAGTGAAAATATTTTTATACATTCATTTAACTAACCTGCATTTCCGGTGGCCCACCTTCATCCCTTATCAGCAGTAGGTAGCTGTGACCGTCAATTATTACTTCCTTTTTGAAACGACCACCTAAAAATAAACAATATTTACTCTGTGACAATATGTCAAGCAGCGACATCTATGATCAGTAGGTGTAAGCTTTAATATAAAAGTGTAACCTTTACTGCCATCTAGTGAACAAGTTTAACTTTACAAAGCTTTAAAAATGTTATGCTGCTTTATATGAATCACCACTAGATGGCACTAATCACACTTTCCCGTGGTATAATTCTCTAGATTATATAAAAACCCTTACCCTCTGGACTTTCTTCTTGCATGTAAGCACCGGTAAGATATCGATGTACCAGAGCAGATTTTCCACTGTCTGGAGAGCCTAAGACTCCTACCCGTAATTCTGTTACACCACGTGATGCGGTCCATTCTTGACTGTTGACGAACGAATCTGTAACAAAGGAAAGATATTGAAATTAATAATCTTATTAGTACTAAATATTGTCTAAATGTAATTTACAGTTGAACATGTCTTAGCCACAGTTCAACAATAGAACTACAAACTTGTTTGCATTTTCCATCGGATTAGACATTTGTTACCACGTTTTTATAGTCACTTTCTTATTTGTCCGTCTGTCTGTCTGTATTTTTGTAAAATATCAGTGCCATAAGCTTCTACTCCGTTCACATGTTACACCCTATTTTTTACGAACGGTAAAAAAGGTCATTCAATATATTAGTCGTAGTTTCGTAACAATGAAATGTTATTCCAGAATAGGTAATGAATTTTGGCGCACGCTGCAATTTCACAGTACGCGAGCAACCCGGGTTAGATCCCCGCCGGCACCAATGAAATTGTTAATTGCAATTTACCACGTGATCGGCGGTGAAGGAAAACATCATGAGAAAACCTGCACGTCTGAAATGCTAGATATGTGAAGTTCGCTTATACGCGTTGGATCAGCGCGGCGGACGTTTTCTTGTCTTAAAATCCTCTCAGAAACGAGGGGAGGCCCGTGCCCAGCAGTGGGGCTAAGTGAGGCTTTTACTCTGACATGGCAATGGATGGCAGTATTGCTCTCTCGGTACCGCTGCGGATAAGCATTCTACCTAGGATCTATGAACGAGTAATTGTTTTATTTGTAAGTGTATTATTTATTTGGCCTAGAAGTAATTTTATGCTTTGGGTATTTTAATGCGCAATGTCTTTAAAATACCATTTTTATATAATATATAGGTAAGAGCGGGGAAACTAGCGTGCAGCTCTGATGGTAAGTGACCGCTGATAATTAAACACAAAGGAATAGCGTCAAAGAATTTAAGTACCTACCTATAGCAATCGCTACAAATTATCTATTTATTGTCTGACTTACATACAGTATAATTTAAGTTTGCCGTAACGTTGATACAGATTTGCTTCTGCAAAGTCACTATCACGATAAAGCTATTGATAATCATCATATGACACGATTACCAGCCTTGAATTCTTATATTCAATTAGAAAAGGTCATATGACAGTGTTCGACATTATACAAGAAATATGTGTTGGCTGTTGGGTTTAGAGGTGGTAGTAATAGTGCACTTGTTTGCGGGAGTGAGGAAGGTGTTCCATGCTCCTCAAACGAGACAATACGAGTATACATCATTTTGTTTTTGTACACGGATCTTAGTTAAATACTTTCCATACCTTTAATATAATGAATTTTCGCAAATTATAACCTGTATCTGTATAATCTGTAACAATTATAATCAATTATTATTGTTATCATTAATAGAATCGATTTCTTTTTCAAAATAAATCGATTCCTAATGAATCGATTGACATGAGGCAAGCATTGGAAAGTAATTAAATGAGAAAAATTGTGCGCGTACTTCACATTGCACAACCGAGCAGGCTCGCGCCGCATTTGCCACGCCGAAAGGAGCGAGTGGCTTTGAAATAAGCGATTGAACAGCTAGAGTGAAGAAACAAGTGAATTATATAAATACAAACGCAAGCAACAGTCCGCTGGTGGAAATTGACCGTGTCTAAATCCTAGCAACGATGGGAGAGGTCGCCACTTTGGGAGATTGTCAATGACAGTAAAAATTTCCTCCAGACCGGATTTCGGACACGATGGTCAGTCTCGACGGAGACTAGCCGTCAGTGCAGGATAAGATTATAGTGTGTACAAGACGCTAGCACAGGTGCACTCTCTATTCCCTCATTCTAATAGTCCGATGGTACGCCACGTGTTGTTCAAGGCACAGGCGTGAAAAACCAAATACTTTCCGACTTCGGGCTGCAACTGAGAATTTCTTGACAGAAAAACCTACAAACTTATATAGATCCAACCCGGTACTTCATGATCAGTAGTGTACGATCATTAGACTAAGGAGACAGTCAAAAGACCAGCGAAAAATTGAGTACAGAAAATAGGCACTCGTCAATTCTCATAGTTCGATTAGACGGCCACCCGACATGACCGGAGATTTTGGACTGAAACCAGGACCTCCTGATCAGCAGTGCCGCTAACGACCATTCGACCAAGGAGACAGTCGACGACGCTCAGTGATTCTGAAGATCGTAGTACCAGATTTCCAGTTTTCCTCACGATCTTTTCTTCCTTGCCATTAATACACGCATTTATATACCCCGATCGGCGACGAGGAGCAGGGTCAAGCGTGCAAGCAAAGATAAATTATAGCAGTAATTTTATTCGTCTCATACGTAGCTTATTTTCGTTTGCGTATTTTAGGCGTTCGGTTATCATGGCATTTATAGAAACTGATATAAAAGTGCTTTTGTAATAGATTGAAGTTTAATACCAAAATTCGTTATTTGATGTGTATTTCCAAGTAGGTCTGGTTTAACATTTATATATAAAAGATTACTAGGTGGCCTAACCCTATACTTAAAATACGTTACTAAATTAACGCTATTACCCCTGGTCTGGTGCTAAGATGGTGAGGACATATTTTCTCAATAATGGGAAAGGTATATATCAAGCTTTACACTTTTATGGAATAATAAGATTTCATTAACAAATATTTGCATGTAATAGCATTATAATATATATCAATTTTGCCGTGCAGTGGTGCTGTAAGCATATCCACTACCCCATATCATCCCGTAGGTAGAGGCGAACGAGGGAAACAAATCAGGACTTGGGCAGCAGCTTCTTCCTAATAACGACTAAAAATATAAAACTGCGTTTGCCTACCTGCTTTCCAAGCGTGGCAACTATGGCAAATATCCCCCAATGGTAGCCCCATCTATGGGGAGGCCTATATTCAGCAGTGGACTTTAGGCTTTAAGAAGGTATACCAAAACTATGTATCCTTATTATCAACTACTCCGTGTTTTTTTTAAAATTAATTTAGTGGCCACACGCATTCTGCGTTACGCTTCAAACAGTTGCAGCTCAATGCGTGGTGAGACGAATTGTCAAATAGAGTCCGTACAATGACATCGAGCTACAAAATTCTTTCGCTATCTAGAAAGAATATTTAAATATTGTAGTTAAGAAAACTTAGGCAACACACAATAAACATGAGCTAGACTGATACTGGTAGAATATTAAGCGATAGCCTTGAAATTATTGTATTAGTTTAAATACGTCTGCAAAAATTCAGATTATTCATACGTTTTGACGTACGTACTGTATTATTACAGCCCTTCACAAGTCCACTGCTGAACATAGGCCTCCCCCAAGGTATGCCACAAAGCACGGTCCTGAGCCACCTGCATCCATCGACTTCCTGCATAATGCAAATCTTATCATTATATATGTATTACATATAACAAAATTATTGAACTAAATAAATAAATCAATTAAAAACTATCGAAATTAAAATAATACGTACTTAATTAGTAGTATTTATTGATAGATCAATTTCATAATGTAAAATAAAAAAAATGTTAAATATCAGTGCCATATGCTTCTACTCCGTTTACCTGTTACAACACCCTATTTTGTCCAGACGGTAAGAAAATCATCCAGTACCTACCAAACATGTAATATATATTTCTTTTTTCACTACAGCCTGTCACATGTCCATAGCAACATAGACCTTCCCCAAGGAACGCCACGGAGCACGATCCTGAGCTACCTGGATCCAGCGATTCCTGCATTTCTTACCAGATCGCCAATCCACATAGTGGAGGACTGAGCCACTTCGCCTAACGGTACGAGGATGCCATACATATATAGATGTAAAACACACATGATAAAACTTAAAAATTGAAAATTTCTCCATTGTCGAGGAGTCGATTTATTGCTTAATATTATTTACCGTTTGTATACAACATTTTGTTACCATTACGATAGCTTTTGTTTATTAAAAGTTAAAGTTAAAGTTACAGCCTATATACGTCCCACTGCTGGACACAGGCCTACCCTCATTTCTGAGAGGGTTTTAGGGCAAGGAAATGTCCGCCACGCTACCCCAATGCGTGTTGGCGAACTTCACATGTCTTCGAAATATTTTTTTTTAATTTTACAAACATGCAGGTTTCCTCAAGATGTTTTCCTTCACCGCCGAGCACGTGGTAAATCAGCACATTAAAATTGCAATTAATAATGTCATTGCAGCCGGCGGGGATCGAACCCGGGTTGCTCGCGTAATGTAACTACAGCGAGCGGTAACCATCTGAGCTACCACGGCTTTGTTTATTACATTCACGTAAATATGTTGAGAGGGCCACGTTAACTTAGACTCCATTATAGCCTAGGTGTCCGTCTTTGTAGGTATTACCTTCTAATTTCTTATCTCTTCTGAAACAGCAGCGCGTGCACTGCTGTTTGGTGTTTTTAGTCTGGAGGGTGCAGAGAACCTGTGGGATATTTCATCTTATCCTGACAGGTAACAATAACAAAGCATCAGTGTGGTCTTACACCGCTTTCACAAAATACCAGCATAAAATAGTAGCTTAATGCTGCTACGTTTCGTATGGTCAGTGTAACGAAGCATTCCATCTTAGTCCTCAGGAGTGATAACGCATCTGCGTTTTGATATTTAATCGAAGATAGAATGCAGATGTCTATGGGTCACATCATCTAATTACTATGAAGTGGACTGAGTGCTCGTTTGTCACCCTTATTACAACTCATTCTTCAAAATTATAATATTATTGTGATCGTAAAATCACCAGTTCCGTGTCGATATTAAAATGAAGGTATAAAGGCATAAGATTCTTCTAACATAAGATTTTTTCGTTTTTCTTTTCCTACATTATTTCTTTACCGTGCTGTTTCTTCTAGGTCAGTATATTTATACAGCGAAAATTCAGAAATGAATTCGCAGTCGTAGCGTTAACATCGTTGATTATCGCTTACTTAAATTAAGAATGAATTAGCTTTAAACCTGTCTCTTTCTACTATCATTTATTGAAAAGAAAAAGCATCTTTAAGCACTTCTTAAATGAAATGGACGTGGTTTTTTTAAGAGTAACAGCATGAGCTTTGATTA